TGTCAGATTGGAGATCAGAAGTTTCTGCAGGATGGTCAAACTGACTCTTTTAACAGGCTGTCTACAGGAGCAGATAGATTGACCAATGGACACAGACAATGATTGATGACATCATTAAGCTGGAACACAGTGTTCCACTGGCCCTCGTTCTGGTTGGAGCTTTAATGGGTACACACACAAAAATTGAGTAGACACACAGACACTAACGCACACGGAAAAAAACACACACACACATACAGAGCAATGCCTGCGCATTACGGTTCCTCCCCTTTTCTTCTCTATTATTGGAAATCAACATATGCGCATGTGAGTCTGTGTCTATCCAGCTGATATATAGCACCCTTCATTGAGTCAGTATATTCAGGCAGATCAACTGAACACCCCTGGAGTTCACACACACAGAGACAGAGAGAAAGAGTTGGCTCAGTGGCCTTGCCATCTGTCCATTAATCAAGGTGCCACATGGACCGACTCCCTCTTTCTCTCTCTTTCTCTCATAAAGTGGTGGACAGAGGGACATTGCAGTTTGATGGCTTATTTTATACTTTTTTTTTATTTGGTTTTGTATTTGTTCTGTTGTATCTAATAAACTGATTACTGTTCTGTGTCCATCTTGCAGTTGTTGTTGTTGTTTTTCTTAAAATATATATCTATCAACCTCTTTCTGGTGGTTATACTGTTGGTATACTGAGAGCAGATTTCTGCAACCACTTTATTTTCCACATAATGTTCCAAAAGAGACATTTAGCTGTATTTAAGTGTTTGACAGGAGTGACCCTTTAATAAGTCAGCTGGCTTGATGCTTCCTGACAGATTGCCTCTCTCAATGTTATTCATGAGTTTCCACTTTAGCTATTGGCTGGTTGGCTGTAAAGGTCAAATCTGAGCTGTGTTCAGTTAAACACGGCCCTTATCTCACACCGTTTTGTTCAACACAATGAAATAAAGTAACCTAAAGAGGGACACTTTTCTCCGTGAGGTTCAAATGTTTACTTGCTTACCTGTTGAACTCTCCTTTGCCAGCGGAGGTGCAAACAGAGGCATAGGGCCATTTTCATTGGGATCAAGTACAAATTTTTGCGCCTGCATCTGTTTCATAATTGTGTGGATTAAAATGAATGCACTGGCGCCAAAGTGGAGAGCAGTGCAGGGTGGTGTTTATATATTTGGAGCCTGATTTTTTGGTTGGCTTGTGCATTTTTTAATAATATTTAATTGGAATTTCCACCACCTCAGAGAATCTCTTCAAACACTGTTGGTAACCTAACAGATTAATTTGTTTATCAGAATATGAACTCAATTTTCGATGATTTTCTGCTGGAGTTGTAACTCACACAAATTGCATGTTTACACAGTTGTTTGGAGTATTCACTTTACTACAGAGAAATATAGTCCACTTAGGCGCACTGTAGTAAAAACAAGATTGTTATTTCCATCTGCAGTAGTTTATATTTAGCTGGATGGCTCTGTTCTGGGACCTCCTTGCCATTCTACGCACATATTTACAAAGCTGGATGCAGCAAGAGCAGCAGAAAGATCTCCTGGTCCGTAACAGAGCAGATGTGACACTCATTAAGACAGATTCAAGACTGAAATGAGTGGTTCTGGTGGATGTGGGTTGCAAAGCGGCTTGCTAATGCCACAGGCGGTGAAATCAGCTGTAATCAGCTGGGCTGTGCTTGACTTTGTGGCCAGCCCGTACTATCCTCAATTTGATTGGCTGCAATAAAAAACATTGTTCATTGTATAATGTTACTGAAGTTGTAACACTGTAACAATTTTTTTCTCACCACGAAGGATAAAGAATTTCAATTACAATTAGAAACAAATGATGCACAAAATAAAGTAAGCTGATTGTCCATAGCTTGACAACCATCACCTAAAAAACACATCATCACTACAGCTGTTGTCATAGTAGCCCTTTTATTAACGCATGCAGACCCACTCGAGCTCCTCCTCCTGATACTCTTGCCACTTTGTAATTTATATAGCACCAACAACAGCTGCCTCAAGGTGCTTTGTATTGTGAGGTAAGACCCTACAATAACACAGAGAAAACCCCAACAATCATATATCCACCTATGACCAGGTCATTGGCAGCCGTGGGAAGAAAAAATTCCCTTTTAAGAGGAAGAAACCTCAGGAAGAAACAGGCCTTGACAGGGGCAGCCATCTGGTTAGAGGTGAAGACAGGGAGAAAACATTTCCACCAGAACTAAAACTGAACCAAAATGAAGCAGTCACACATGAACTTGTATTCAGTGTAACAGGCCCGAAGAATCCCCGTATTCTTTGATATAGCACCTACTGCTGCACTGCTACTGACTGTTAAAAAAGGAGTTTTCCAAAGGTAGAAAAGAAAAAGGCATCAAATGATGATGATAGTAACAGACCACTTCTAGACAACAGAAAAGGCGATTCTGCTCTCAGTCTATTAGCTCAAGATGAACCTGCCTTCGCCTTTAAAGCAAGCGAGAAAGGTTCAGAATTTCAATATTAGATTTTCGTCTGTGAGGGATTCTTTTTTGAATAGCTTTATAGATGGAGCAGAAGTCTCTACATTCTTCTGCCTGCTTTTCAGCTAAGCCATCAAAAGCTTTTAATGTATATGTACCATGTTTACAGTTGCAGAGTATTGTGGTTAGTGTTTTCTGGTTTTTATTTCCTGTGATCCTGGCATATAGCTCAAAATAAGCCTCAGCATTGTTGTCAGAAAGATGTGATTCTCGTATTACACGCACTTTGTCCTTCAAACAACCTCACTGTGGGTTTTTCTCGGATTTACGGAACTTTTGAAGATGGACGCCTTTCTGTTTCACTGCTTCAGCAATGCCGGAGAGACACACGCTGGATAACAGTTACGCACGGCGGTACTGGGAGGAGTAGTGTCACAGAAAAGTTCTGCCACCCATTTTTAACAATATTACAGTCACAATCAGCACAGGTAGTGGGTCATTCAGTATCACCTATGATTAATAAAGGTACATTTGTCATACATAATGTGAACATTAAATATAACTGTTCCTATTGTTGGCCTCTGAACATAAGGTGGCAAGAACTGCTTTTAAACAGCTTATAGGTGGGGACAATGTTGGAGTAACAGTGCCCTCCATTGTAAAACACTTAAAACAACAAAGATCAGCTGGCAAAAAAATGACTAGTTACTTAGCAACAGCAACGAAACAGGATGGTGCACTCTGTCACGGCTTTGTCAAAAAGTTGTTCATGGTTGTTTTTTTCTGTATTTCTTTTCTTCTTCTTCTTCTTCTTTTTTTTCTGTGTATTATACCCACCAGAGCTTTAACAATGCACACCTGCTGCTCTGAAGTTACAGCAGCTCTGCGGAAATGTCTCACTCTGCCCACACGCTTTTCCTGCAAATATCCCTGCTGACGAATGGCTCTGTTTCCCAGTGATAGAGGTCATCCCATTTAACCACTCACTGCTCCGAGGGACAACACCAGTGACTTAAATGTCATTGGCAGTCATCCTTTGGGGAGACTTTAGCCCCTCATCACATCCAGGTAAATGTAAGGCTTGATTGGCTTAATGTCAGTAGCTGTATTTAATTGCTCATTATAAAATATTTAGTGATAATGACTCCCTGTTAGCTATTAATGATGATAAAGAGCCAATCAAAAGGTATTAGCACTGTAATATCTCTAAAAATGGGTTAGATGGTAATAAGGCTGATTGGTGGGAACCAACAAGTTATACATGATATATTCTACCTGCTTAAAAAGGATCTGTGCTCACACAGTACCAAAAACCTTAATGATGGTCACTTCCCGTGTTTGGTTCACAAGAGAAACCTGAGGCTAAAGTCGAGGCACGAGGTCATATGGTGACCAGCAGGCAAGAGACCACGACCAACAGCTGGCTAACACCTGGAGGTCCTGCTCAGGTATCTCTGAGCAAGACACTTCATCCCTCCTGAACGCTACAGTGCAACTCACCTTTTGCCCAAAATGTAACTGTTGTTCATATGTTGCTTTTTATGTTGGATTCAGTCAGTTTTAATTCCAGCGAGACTGTGATTTCAGCCTAAAGTAGGTGTGACATTTTCCAGCGTCTCTCTACCCTCTTTCTTCACTTTTTCGATTTCTCTGCCCCCACTTCTTAGTTCCTTTTGTGTCTGTATGTTGGTAATTATTAGTTAGAGGTTCAAATATTCCACTCTCACACACACATGCATGCCCACGCACACCCGCACACACACACGGACCCATGCCCAGAGAATATTGGTTTTTATGTTAAAGTATGTGTCTCCAGCCACGGACTGAAGCCAAGTGAAGGAAGACATGACAAACGACTTTGGCATTTAACATGACAGACGCCCTCTCTCTCTGTCTCCCTCTTTCCGTCTTTGTGTGCGCGTGTGTGTGTGTGTGTGTTGTAAGTATGAATCTATAACAGTAGCAAATGTTAAAAAAAAATCCAGAAAAAGAAAATCAAACATTCTCAATGAGGTCAATGATTAAAGTCTGTAGTCACTTATGTAACCATATGCAGAGTGATTGCATAACTTGTGTCACCTAAAAATAAATTGTAGTGGTAATTGTGTTTTTTCATTTGTGTGCTATTTTAATTAAGATCAAATCTGGTGCTTGTGTAGAGGAGTGTTTACACCCTACTGTGTTTACTTCATTTGAGGTCCTAAACAATCACTATCATAGCTCCCCTGATGAAAGCATACAGCCGTAGCATGTTACTGAGTCGCTACACTGCAAACATTGGATTATACTTTGTTTTGTTTCGTAATTTTATAGCTAACGGCTTGAAACAGTAATGGGATTTTCGTTCCACTGTAAACTCAGCCCTGTTCAACTCAAACTGATGAAAAGCCAAGGTAACTGACTGACCACAGTTACACATGCACATGGAGTCACCCATGGACAGTTAGCAGGTTTCATATTTCATATTTGTGATTACAGCAGATTTCTGTATGTGTGCCTGTGATGTATATGCTGGTGTGGGTACACAAGAAAGGCATTTCTTACCTTTGCAGACAGGTCTGTGGTCACTCCATGCTGCAAACACTTCTGCCACTCTCTGGCAGCTGATACTTTTGCTGCCCTGTAGAACATAGTCTTCTCCGCAGCTAAAGTGCACCACACTCCCAATGCTATGCAAAATGGAAAAAAAAAATAACATAGTGTAAGAAAAAAAAGAAACACAGGTATAAAATGTTTATGCTGCAAAGATTCTGTACAGATGTGCATTTGTGCATTTCTGTTATAAAGCAACTACGCCAGTGTTTTTCAATTGTACCTGAAGTCATTGCCATGGCGTTTTCCATTCTCTGGCTCTCCTGGGTCTGGGCAGGAGTTAGAAGCCTGTCTCACACCGCCTTCATTTACTACACAGAGAGACAGACAGGTGGAGAGCCGAGGAAACACGGTTTAGATGAAGACAGACAGAAGAAGTATTTGGTTCACTGGATTCCACGAGCAATCTTTCTCTGAAGTAAAGGTTTAGTTTTCTGACTGCCATACATTATGAAACTCATTTTTATGCTCACATAAATACACTGTAATTCGAAATTTACCATCAAATCAACATGGTACTGCTTCAATGCGCCCTCACATCTGTCATTCCTCTGAATGACAGATGTGAGGGTGCCTTTAGTTTTAGCTTAGGAAATCTGCCTGCTTTATCACTCATTCGCTTTACAATCAGCAGCGAAAGAAAAAAAAAGTTCGACCAGGAGATAGCCTAACAGACAGGCTAGATGGTGGGGTGGGCTGTAAAGGATGACACAGCACTCCAGACACGATCTTAATTCTCTCACAGACGAGCTAATCTTGACAGTAACCCTCCAAACATCACAGAGGTAGAACAGAGACAACAGACAGGACTGCACAAACACTTTCAGACTGCAACATCACGACAAACGTGGATCTGACAGGATGAATCTTTACTCAGTATCTCTCTTTAATTATAAGACTGCTGTTGTACTGTTTTTCTTCTGTTTTTTTAATCATTTTCCTTTTGTCTTTCGGTCTGTCCCCTTTGCCCCCATCTATGAATAAAATAACCTCATAGCAGACCGTTTAGACCTTCTTCTTTGTGCAGCAACAGTTTTACTTTTTTAAAATGAAACACTGCTGCTTTTTCTGTCCCAAAATAAGGGAGGCACCACGTGCCACAGACCCGTTTCTGGTACATCGCAGCAAAGCAAAAAGTATTAGTAGTAATACGGTATCTTAATGAGCTGCATTCCATTGATGTTCTATTTCGACCCACGTGAGAGGATATTTCCTTAATGAGATCAGGGTGAGGGTAAACTTATTTAAATTACCCTCGAGTTTCTCACAGTTTTTCATTCAGACCAGTGAATACAGAATTAGGCCCCTCTGAGGATTTTTGAGTTTTTTTCTTCTGCTTCTTCCCAGTCTGTCATCCTTTCCTAATGTCTAGTGTCAGCAGAATATTACTAGAGGCAGAAATCAGCCTGGTGTGCTTATTTATTTCGGCTATAGAGCAAATAAAACAGCCCGTGGTGTATTTTGATATTCAAATGCAAGGAGTGATATTCAATTTAGAGGGAATAATAGTTTAGTGTGGTATAATAATCAGTTTATTTTTAAAGCATAGAGTAGACAACAGTGCGGCACTGTTCTCTTGATTACTAATTTCATAAGGATGATTAAATTACGAGTGGAAGAACATAATTCTATTTGTGTTATTTGGATGATGAATATAATATCAAAATGATTATCTTTTTTTAACTTTGCATGTTTTGGTTTTGTATTTTATTTATGTGTATAGGTTTTGCTGCTCTAATTAGTCAGCGTCCCCCTCATCTAAAGAAAGGCTCTTTGCAATGAACACAGGTTAAAAAAAAGAAAACGTCCTGAATTTGCAAGAAATTTAAACAAGTTTTTTTTACTCAAGAACGCTTACGAAGTCAACTAGTCTCACTGTTTTGGAATTAAAACTCCCTTACCGCGTTGTTTAAGATACTTTCTGGTTTTTTTTAAGTGTTCTGCACTGACTCTTGTTGTAAGACAATTGCTGGTGAAAACTGATAAAAAAACAAAAAAACAAACTTTTCTCTTATCTTAACCCCCCCGCAAAAGCCAGACAACCCAATTAGGTGTGACAAACACTGGCCAAGTGATAATACTGCCCATTTCTGTTTTCACATAAACACCTTCCCACCCAGGCTGTCTGGGCTATCTGGCTAACATGTATGTACATGTGTAGTCTGTATCAACAAACCCAGCAGGTGGTTGGTGTGCAGCTCTGTGTGTGTGGATTTGTTAGAGTAGATACTTTGTTGCTTTGTTGGAGCGGCTAATTTGACCATCTGGACTATTAACAGTACAACAGAGGGACTGGTTACAGTATCAGTTCTGTGTACACACAGACAAACACACAAAGCCCACAAAAGTGAACCCACAAACATATATATACATGCACATATACAGAACCACATCTAAGCGCACACGCATGGGCACAGACTGACACACAGACAGGCTTTATGCTTCACTGACGAGTTAAACCAGTTAGAGAAGAACATATTAGCATCTGAACCAGTCAGAGCCAGACTAATTAACATACAGTACACATTCATATGTGTAGAATCAAACCTCGACCATGGCTCTCCAACCTGTCAAGGAAACTGATGGATCCGCGATGTGCCGAGCCACCACGCTGCGCCTAGCTCAGAACATCGCCTCCCCATCAGCTCATACAGTATTTAAGGCAATTACACACAAACATACAATCACATAAACGCAAGCAAATAAGGAAAACGAGCAAAAAAAAATCAGTGATCTTTAAAAATTCATAATTATCACTCATGCAAACTAATTAACAAGAAGCAAGGCCATCATCTTGGTGTTTTTGCACGTACGGTATTAGTCTCTCGCTCTCGTATTAACACTTATGTGCACTTATCTTCTCATGTCCTTATAGTGTGCAAAAAAATGCATGACTTTGAACCTTCATCTGCATATTTGTGAGTCCATGCGGGGTGTTTAGACTAGGTGGCAAACATAAAAGTATATAACCATCAACACCATTATAGCACACAGATAACTAACCTTCAAAGAGTTGCATAATGTCTGTGCGTACGTGTGTGATGTGAGATGACCGAATAGAGACGCTATAGTAAAGAAGTGTGAAAGAAAGTTGGACTTACATAAAAAATAATGTATGTATCAAGTTAAATGTTGAAAAGTGAGCTCTATTTGCTGGTAATAGCTCTGCTTTTTGTGCATATTCATAGAATGTTGAAAGTTATAATTGTAGAGAAAAATGTAATCATGTAGCCAAATCGGTATTACAGTGGATGAAATGACAAAGGAACCATAGTTCCCTATTGATGCCTATTGTGTTAGTTTCCAAGGTGACTTATTCTTATATATGGATATTTCAAGTCAGAAGGAACTGTGGTTGCCCACCAAACAAGTGCACTACATTAACAGGGAAGCTCTTATACTTATTATGAGTGCATCCTTGTTATTTTGGAAAGGTTCTAGATATAGACTGCAATATGTAATGGCAGTTTACCTTTCTACCAAATCATCACACATCATGACATAATATATTTTATAAAGCGCAGAAATACATGAAATTGTCTTGGGAGATTTTTTATAAACCCAACAATGGGCTTGAGACCTCAATGATTCATTTATAAAGGTTTGCAGGCTGTGAGAGGAGAGGAGAG